TAATCCAGTAATATTCCACTGTCCGTAATGCATTGACATACATAACAGTTATTAATAATAAGAAAATCTGCGTAACATCATTAATAAATATTTGAAAAAAAAACATCTTATACGGTAGAAAATATCAAATTATATCAGTAATAGCATACTGTAATAGGTAATCGCTTAGTAAGAAAAAAAAAACTAGGGGTTAGGTATAAAATTAATGCTCTAGACTAACCTAACCTTTAATAATACTTTATAACAGAGACAAAGGATAAAAATACAAAATATAATTATTAATGACATAACATCAATATTGAATATAATAATAATAATAGTCATGAATAATTTATGATAATAATGATAATGATACTGTTGTCGTTACACATATTATATTATTATTACTTTACGATGCATGGATCAATACAAATAGTTTTTTTTAAATATAATTTCGTGTTTATTTATATTTATACTGGATTAAAGTTTGAATGGCATTTATGATTATTGTTACATTATTTTGTGTCATGTTATGAAACTTGTGGTTCCATCTTTTGTACACTTCATTCATCCACACTTGTCTCAGACGTAATACAGTTGTAAACCTTATATTATGGATATCAAAAAATAAAGGTACCTGCCAGCAACCAGTATAATATTAATATTACATTTATCTCTAAATATTAGTGTTTCAAAAATGTATGATATAATATATAGGCCATATGGGTTTCAATAATCTGCTACCTATGCATAAAAATCAATGAGAGTCAAAATGTAACAAACATCGATGTCTGAACGTGGTCAGTGGTACGGACGCGTTTTTATCGGTTATACATTTATCATTATACCAATTTGTTGTTAAAATAATATGTGAAGTATAATTCAATTCATTTTTTACAATACCCCCATAAAAAAATTGTATTGAATTGTCTGAATTTATAACAGTTCTGTTAATACTGTGATGCAGGAAAATAAGACCGCTATAAAATGTAAATGAATCTAACGTGACATACTATTATTTAAATCAGCGGTAATAATAATAATAATTGTTAGTCTTTCGATGCTGAATGGCCTCATAAAATATATTCTAGAATAATGAGACCAACGCTTGCAAGATTTAAGTCAAATGATTGGAAATTAAAATAAATTGAAGTTAGTAGCGGGTACCTAATGAAAGAATTTCTGAAAATGTATGACGTGAAAATATAATAGTGTTTAAAATGTTATAATGTTTTAAAGAATATTTATTTGTATGGAATTATTTGAAAAGGGGACACGGATTTGAAAAAAAAAAACAATTTGTTTGTGTTATTTAGAATTCAGACGATATATTTTATATTTTTGTTTTACGTCAAGAACGTTACCTAGATTTCTTTTACGTTTAATAATATCATAAGACATAAATATCTTTCCCTAATATATTCTAAGTATATCATAATATACTATCCAAATATTTATATATTTAAACCTTTCTTTTAATTCAAATTTCTAATTTTAGACTTTCTTTCATTTGATAATCATTTTTCGTTTAGTCAATTCCCAAATTTACAATCGTCACTTTGTCTTCAATCGAAACATTTAATAGGGGGGGGGGGGTGAATCTACCCACTATGAAACTTGACGGTAATAGAATATTATCTGTATTTTGTTGGAAGTTTTTTTACGATATTCAGTTTTTAGATGAGTTATGAGCATTTTTTATTTACATTTATTATATACACATAACTCACTTAAAAACTGAATTATCGTAAAAAAACTTCCCACAAAACACAGATAATGTTCTTAATATCAAGTTTCATAATAATTCGGTTCACTTTAATTTTTAAGCTAAAGGCATAAAACGTGAATTTCTGAGCTTAAATTTGGTATGTTACGCGTTTGTAAGACGGAGACAACAGATACAGGAGTAGCTTAAACATTTTAAATACAAAATACATTGATACCTTTAATACCCCCCCCCCCCCTATTAAATGTTTCAATTGAAGACAAAGTGACGATTGTAAATTTGGGAATGGACTAAACGCCAAATGATTATCAAATGAAAAAAGTCTAAAATAAGAAATTTGAATTAAAAGAAAGGTTTAAATGTATAAATGTTTGAATAGTATATTATAATATACTTACAAATATATTAGGGAAAGATATTTATGTCTTATGATATTATTAAGCGTAAAAGAAATCTAGGTAACGTTCTTGACGTAAAACAAAAATGTAAAATATATCGTCTGAATTCTAAATGTTTTATGTTACGTGGTTTATAAGACGGAGACAACGCATGCGGGTATGGCGTCCTCTTAAATTGTATAAACCTCCAAATATAAAAAGGGTAGCCCAGGTAGAAAATGTAGGATATAACATAACCGAGAAGATTTGAATTTTTTTATTAAGAGAATTGACAAATCAACGGACATTCAATTTGGATGTCAGTCGATTAAATAATACTTAGTATAATAATAGATTTATAAATTAGAATTATATAGTTATGACTTATGACACATTTTAAATTCGAGTAAAGGTACACATATAAAGAAGATAATGTCTATAAATGCCTGTTAAATATAATTTTGTATTAGAACAAGATTAGTATTTACTCTAAGGGTAATTAATTACTTACCACTTAGTCTAAAGTTGTACTGTAGACTTGTCATCGTTTTATTTCTCATATTTTTGTCCAGAAATTATTAGTGACTTTAGATATTTAATAGTGATTAATTCGGGATATAGGTTGATCGAAATTAATGGTATATTTCGTTTAACGATAATAATATCATAATGTTCGCTCATTGACGAAATTTTTATTTTTATTTTTCATATTCCGTTGCTATTCGTTCAAAATTTCAATCGTTTTTTTTGCAGAGCATTACATTGCAGCTACCAAATTCACTAATTATAAATGTATAACCTTTTTTAAGCCTTACTTAAAACACTCTGACACATTACCACGTAATCGTGCTTAAAGTATTGTACCTAGAAAGTTGTACAGGATTCACCGGAATACCAGGTGTCTCGGTTCTCCCACCTCAGCAGTCAGCATCGAATAGTGTATATATTATTATGTTTTGATGTCGTATATTTTAAAATTAATAATACAATAGGGGTGACATTTCAAAACTTATTTTTTCCATTTTACACTTTTTTTGAGAAATCACGATTTTCTATTTTTAATTACCATTGGAAATAGTACGTTATTTATTCACTCAATTATATTCCCTATATCTTCATACTATGGGAAATAGTACAATATGGCCTACTTTTGAAATGGTACTTTTTGTACAGTTTGAGGAATTGGTACGTTTTGCACCAGTTTGTCAAATGAACAAACTATTTAACATTGGAAATACTACGTTTTGACATAATTTTTTTAATCGACAAATTTTTTCTTTGCGTCATTTATTAGTTTCAGATTGATTTTAACAAGGAAAATAGTACGTTTTGGTTCAATCTGACCACACCATTAGATTCCTCGTACATTTTTACATATGAATCCATGTGCAACTCAATTTTGTCAATTTTGGAAATAGTACGTTTTGAAATGTCGCCCCTCATATTATTGAACAATATACATTTATACTAATACACATTTTCTTGCTTTATCCAGAAACAGCAGTAAAATAGTAACTGAAAAACTGTACATTTAAATATTTTCAATGCACTGTGTTATAATTGAATATTCAGCTACTACTCCACACTTTCATAAGTTATGGATTTAATTCCTTTAAGTAACTTATGATGATAATATAATTATTTATTTTAAAAATAGATTGATGTCGTTGAGTATCATTAAACTAATACAATAATACGCATCGCTTGGATGATTTACTGGAGTTTCTGAAAATAACACTATCTTTTAACGCGAAACACTAACCCGAACAAACTTTAACAACTCGTAGCAACAAATACAATACGATAAATAATTTATGAGTGTATAACAGCATTTGGAATAATGTGCAATAGTTATCGCTTACAGGAGGGCAACACATAATTCATTACATTTAAACCCAGTGGAGCCAAACAAATGTATTTAATTTAATATTTAATATTAGGTACCTACTCTTTATTTCAAAGCTTTATGAAGTTTCGTCCAGAATTCCAGAACTAAAGTTCTTCGCACAAGAATTATACCAACTCGTTCAATTAATATATGTATTATTTATATAAATTAAAATATTCATTAGACTACATTTTGGATATCAACAAACATTTTAAGGATCTGTTAATATTTCACTATTAGTAGTTTTTCACGAAATCTGGTACACAATGTGGTATTATTCGTTAAGTATTAATAAAATATTTGACAAAAACATTAGAGTCAAGTGGATATATGGAAAAAATATTTTTAAATTCCCATATTTTATATAATTATTAGTTGTCATAACAATTTGTTGGCGATTACTGCATTATGATCTAACTAGAACACTTCCAATATTGACAAAAATGAAAATTCAATGTAAATACTTCAAAAAAATTTACATTTGCAACATAAAAATACTATTTTTCGTAGCAAATGAAAGCAAACAAATTGGTTAGTATGTCATCACTCATCTGTATAGAAATGACCTCTAGTACATTTGAAAATATTTGTCATTATCATTGATTTTATATTACTTGAATGAATGAATTACACATATTTCTATATTTCCCATATTACATAACGGCTAAGGGGTAAATGAAAATTTTATTATTTTTTTAGGTTGGATATAATATGTTATCATTTTAGAATGCTAATTACTATCCCACACACGTAGGTTGTAAAAATTGTACCATTCTGTCATAAATTATTGTAAAATGTGTTAACAGCTAAAACTCTCATTTATTTTCTTACTAAGCACATAAATTATTCTGATTATATTTTCACTATTTTATTTTCTGGTTTGAATAAAACGCATCACATATTATGTAACTATAAACTATTAAACACACTCACATATCTATTCAATCTTTTTATAAACAAACAAATAATATTAACTAAATTTTATTCAAAAATTTGAATTTATATTTGACTGTCAAACATACCAATCAATATGAGTTTTAAACCAGAACATGAACAGAGTTTGGACATTGAAAATTGCTTAGGTCTTATGACCGATAACGATTTAGATAAATTCTTTAATCTCTACAAAATTATTACAAGTTTGGATCCAAACGCCAACGCACTTATCAAGAAGGCCAGTATGGACGAATTATTGTCTGGAAAACTTATAGATAAAGAACACTTAAAGGAGTTGTGCGTGGCTAAAGTAGAAGAATCAGAACAATCTAACAAAGAAGATATCGATGTTTCTTCGAACGACCATACATTTTTTGACGTTTATGATCACATTGAAAGTTGGAAAAAACGCATGCACCCTATGATGAATAAAATTGAAGATCTAGTAGAAGAACTTAAAACAATCAGCCAGCGTACGTCTAGTGCAGATATTTTAAAAGTGTCTAATTTGATGAAAGAACAAACAATTAAAAACTCCAATGATGATGTCGTTTCGAATTCTAATCGTTATTTATCAAATATTGATAAATACATAGAAATTAGTGAAAGCCATAATTTGATATCGGAAGTATTTCATCAGTCACCGGCTGGCCATGATGGTATAAAAATCAGCGAAACAAATCTAGACTCAGAATCTGATAAATTAAATATTCATGATGAAATTGGAAATGCAAAAGAAAATATTTTGCCACTAATTGATGAAGAGAAGACCCAAAAAACACTTCTGGTTCCTACAAATGCATACTTGGAAACCGAAAATCAGACGAATGTGGATGAATTTGAAGTAAACACATATTATTTCGAACGGTAATGTATCAATTCCTAATATCAAGTAGGAATTTGTGGGCGGGATATTTTGGGTCTACTCCTATATTAGTATTTTCTTTTGTATCTTTGATTTTAAATGGGATATTGTACTATCAGTTTCTGAGTGTAGAAATGTATTTCTAATTTTGATGCTATCAACAAATTATTGCTTTCACCAATTTCGATTACTTATCAAATATTTGATAAATAACGATTAGAATTCGAAACGACATCATCAATGGAGTTTTTAATTGTTTTTCCTTTCATCACATTAGACACTTTTAAAATATATGCACTAGACGTACGCTGGCTGATTGTTTTAAATTCGTCTACTAGATCTTCAATTTTATTCATCATAGGGTACATGCGTTTTTTCCAACTTTCAATTTGATCATAAACGTCAAAAAATATATAATCGTTCGAAGAAACATCGATATCTTCTTTGTTAGATGGTGCTGATTCTTCTACTTTAGCCACGCACAACTCCTTTAAATGTTCTTTATCTATAAGTTTTCCAGACAATAGTTCGTCCATTCTGGCCTTCTTGATAAGTGCGTTGGCGTTTGGATCCAAACTTGTAATAATGTTGTATTAGTTATAACTTATAACTGTGTTTATGTTATGGATAATTTTTATAAAACTATGTAAATGTATGACTTATCTATCTGTCATACCTAATAAATAAATTTATTAAAATTTAAAAAAATATTGTATATTTAAAAAAATTATAATTTTAATACTTTTCTGTATACATATATTATATTATTAAATGAAATAAAAATAAAATAATAATATAATATAACGTGTTTTAATTTCTTGAAATTTATCTATTCACAAAATAAATAATAACATAATTTTACAAAATGTGAGAATATAACGTATAATATGTTTTATATATTTCATGATATCAGATATGGTATTATAATACCAACACATAACGAAACTACCACATAAGTAGTTTAGTACTCAAACAAACTATTATAATGTTATAGTTAGGTATAATAATGTATTGAGTTTTTGAAAATATATTATACAATTATCAATTATTATCTAAAAGTGATACAATCATAACATATAAAAACATATAAAACATAAGATAATTTTATTTATTCAGAATATTTTGGACACCTATATAAAACGGTGTGCAGTGGTCGATGACAGTGAAGATAATGAAATCCAAAAAAACGAATCTAATAAGTAAATTACAATTAAAATTCATGTTATAGTATACCAAATTATATTTTATTATTATTATTTGTAATGTTGTAATAATATTATGACATTGTTATCATTTAGACATCAGCCATTATCAACGACAATACTATAGTACCTATTTGGCTTGTACACGGGACGATCTCATTAGCAGCAACTTATTGCCGCTGTGTACAGTGTAGCATCACAGAATACAGATTATATTAAACCTGATGCTGCACTTCTGCATTTACTGATAACTAAAATCTACCTCGATGCTGCAGGACCACATATAAGAAATAAATAATTATTGCACGGAACCTTTACTATAATAAATTATTGTATCAAATATTATATGACAATGTTACGATTTTGGAGTGACTGCTAAATATTAGTGATGCGTAGTTTATAATCAATAGGTAATTTCTCATAAAAACTGTTTTTCCCTATTAGTCGGTACTCTGTGGTGATACTGATTATAGGTTAGGTTTTGATTTGCTTAAAATTTTGAGAATTACATGTCTTGAATAGGAAGCGCACCATCCGGTTTAATATAACCTGTGGTAGCATTAATGGGAGGTTCGGAGTTCAAGCAATCTGTAACCCTCGGGAATGGGTGAGAGTCGGTCTGTCGGTCGGACGGAATCAGTTTAAATCGACAGTGCCGGGAAGTTCGACTTTACGTACACTTACATTGTGTGCGTACGCTGTTCAGTGGTCTTTTAGACGACTGTAATATTTCAATGTTTTGATTTGGAACTCTTGTGTCTCAGCCGGAAAAGATATATTAAGTGCGCTGAGATCTGGGAGAGGGGAGAGAGAAGAAGAGAGAGAGGAAGAGAGCGACGGAGAGAGAGAGGGAGAGAGAAAGCTTTGTGGTATACTGGCGTTCATCAAAATCCGTCGTTATATTGAAAACCAACACCGACTTAACGAATAATTAATAGCTTTTGTCGTCTGTCGCTAATTTGCGATCTGGTTGAATAATTGTTTTTCATTCAGCGAGTACTGCGCTTGTGTTTGCGCGACCGACTGAAACCGTATAAAAAGTTACGCCTACCAAATTAGCTCTGCAAAACTGAAACCGAAACACCAAATTTAGTTTTTGATTAAAAACTGTCAGCATATAGATATATTTTGTAATCGAATAAAAATTTAAATCATTTTACAGTGTACATTTATTTTTAAAATAAATAAATAAAAAAATAATTTTAATTTGATAAGGTCTTTTGGTTTACTTTCAGATATTGTAGTAGAATAATATACAAGAAAAAAAATGATGGAAAATGATGAAAAGCCGGAACTGAGCTGTAGGGTAGTAAGGGCATAGCCGATAAAGCGTATACACTTAATATAAAGATTAAAGATTAGAGATACTTTATATTATAGATAATAATACTATACGAGAGTAGAATTTTAAATTGGTTTGATTTAGGGGTTCGATGAACTGTCATGAATTAAAAATGAAGGGACAACGCGTATAGTGCAAAGTGCCACACTGCCGGGGGCTGCGGCTGGTGTGTGGGAAGTGTTAATCGATGAGATATATAAATAATATGTTAAAATATTTAGGACACGACAAAGCGTACTATTGTCTAAAATAAATTATTTTAGGTGCAAGAGTGTGCCCAACCGTATTTGAGATCTTTCGGTGGTTTCTTTTCTTTACTATTGGCCTGCCAGCGTATGTGTGTTTGTGTGGGGTGTGTGTATGCGACTAGTATTATTCCACTGCTGTTTATTATTATAATATGTGTACTGTATAATCCATATAATATAATATAATAATATGTGCGTATACATACAATATTATACATTGTACATGATATATTCTTTAATGCACTTACCTAGGTTGTAATTTCCGCTTTCTGCGATAATATGATATTATATGGTTATTGCAGAGATGTTTTGATGGGGTTGGGTTAGATCATTGATGCTCGCGGTATCTCTGCTACGATTTAATATTATTATGTAACCCGTAATTCGATTTGTATCGGTTCAATGAGTGTACGATGACGTGCTATGTCCACTATTGTAAGTTGATATACGATATTGAGATAACGCGCCATATGTAACACTTGAGAGTGTATCAGTCAGTGTTGATTGTTGTGAGACTTATCTAGATAGAAATTAATTATTATCTATTATATTATCCAGACATAAATCTAAATTTTATCTATTTATCCATCTTAGATGAAAACTTCAATCATCTTCTGTAATGTATATAGATATTTTTTTTAATGTTGTAGAAATAGTTTTGATAAATTCAATACTACTATTAATGTTCATGACAATATTATGTACTATTTTTTAAGACGACAATCAGACGATAAAAATATCTATTGCAAAAAAATATTATTAGTCAGTCAATAATCTTCATTGTCCTATCCGTAGCCCGTACGCCGAAATTGTGTGGTAATGAAAGTAGAGTGAACGACAAAAATTATGAATCTTTCAATTTTTATTTTGGTTTTCCTTTTCTTGAATGTGACCATCTAAAAAATGTAAAATATTTAATTAATAAATATAATATAGGTAATTATAGATGTATTATTATTTATTTTTATTTTTTACGGTCCGTGAAAAACATATCATAAGAAAAATAGGTTTAAACACTGAAATTCTGAACTCTGAAGAAAATAACTAAAAAATAATAAATTAGGTATTTCGTTGAAAATAAATATATTGATTATGCGTACAGCCTACAGGGGAAATAAATATATTGGATTGAAAAATATACAGGTTCTTTTTTGAAACAATAAGACATTTTAAATTATAGAAACAACACTTAAAAATCGAGACACAATTCAAACCCTTTATATAAATACAAAATTGTGTATACACGAATGCCTAATACATTTTATTGATCTAATATATAGGCAATCAAAATCAATGATTTCAAATTATTTTGATTCATTGGTTTTATAAAAATTAACTGTTTCGTTATTATACCAGTCGTTAAAATGACCCAACGCATTGAATTATGGGCTATGTCAAAATACATTGGTACAAACAAAACAGAGACGTTGATGTGGACTAGCATAGAAGAATAATGTATTTGTTGATGTTTAAACTACCTATAAAAACGTTGGCTGATAATATATTTTTTTTTTGTCATCTCTTATATTATTCTGTTATATATGCAATAATACCGCACTATACTTTTGGTGTGCGTCGGCTGTATAGAGAACGTTCAGTCTATACGATACGTATCCGAATATTATTGCTCCTATTTTCGAACTTTATAGAGAAACTGCATAATGTAGAGTGTTTCGTATAGACCCTTTCCCCTTGGTACTTTGCAACATTTGAACGATTGATGGTAAATGCTCGTGGAATGTCTGTGGAATGTGTATTGTTTGTTTTCTATAACCACACACGCAGGTCATCATAATATTAGAGTTAACTATTTAGTATACAGTTATTAAAACATACTGAAATATTTTATATTGTATTAGAGATTTATTACAATTATTATTATATTTATCTATTGTATTATTATATTTTTAACATGCTGGAGCCAAACATTTATACGAATCAGCAAATGACACATTGTTATATTAACACATGTTTTTTATAAACATTCTTCTTTCACATGAGATGAATAACAGTTATTCTGAAAACTATATGGTACGATCGTATATCGATAGTACTATCGATAGTATATATGTACTGCAAACTACCAGAATATGCATGTTATGAGCTTACAAACACTGAAATATGTGGACATAAATACATAATAATATTGATTAATTGTTAATAAACAAATAGTATGTTCAATTTAAATGGTCGTTCGACTACAGAAGGAACGTAATGATTTTATAGAATTTAATTAGTTCGTAGTTTTTATAGATTATAATGCATTTATACTTGTTGTCTCCGTCTTACAAGCTCGTCATTTTAAGCTCAGCAGATCACATTTAGCTTCTTTATAGTTTAAAACTTCGAGTGAATTGACCTCTTAGAAAATTTAAAGGTAAGATCTAGAGCATCTCATAGGCTTTATGTTACATTTAAATTTTAAAGTGAGTTATGAGTATTTTAAGTTGTAGAAAAAATTCAAAGTTTTAAAATAATCATAACATGCTTTAAAATAAAAATATAAAAAAGAGCTTATAAAATGCTCTAGATAATAATCTTACCTTTAAATTTTATAGTGGTCAATTCACTCGAATTTTTCTAACTGACAGAGTTAAATGTGATCTGCTGAGCATAAAATTTGGTATGTTAGGCATTTGTAAGACGGAGACAGCAAATATCTCTGTAACTTCCACTTAATACCTACTAATAAATTTCAAGTGACGACTATAATTTATGCAGTGTCGAGACAATTTAAAAGTACT